GCTGGTGAGTTGTTCAAAGCGTCCCATAGTTTTTAAACTCTCTGAATTCCTAGATCGCGTAGTTTAAAGTTACAATTTACCTTGAGGGCGTTGTGTTGCTTTCCCAAAAAGCCTGTTGTAAGCAAAACTGAAATTGGCTCTGCAAGCAGAGTGCTTCAAACCGTCAATATTTTTCATTTCTCACTAGATATTTGTTCAATAGCTTATTATACTGATTGACTTTATCCTAAGCATTCCGTTTGTTTGTGGCATTCTTCTGTGCACAAAACAGTGTATGAAATACTTATTTATTCGTCTGATCCAATTAAGAACATCCTGCTACGTTTGCACTAAAGCTGCTGGCTTTGTTGTTAATCATTAGTCAGTGTGTTTGAAGTCGTTTGTGCCCTAGAGTTGCTGAATGTTCTTTTTCAGAGATGGAAAATAATGTCTTGCAAGATGAGGATTGAGCAGCTGAAACAGACCATTTGCAAAGAAAATGATGAAATGACAAGACGTGAGTACTGCCTGTGCTTTTGTGGTGTGTAAAACTCTGTGCCTTAGAGTGAAAAACCATTTGATGTGGATTTGAGTGTTAGTTTTTAAAAATGGTGAATTTCCAAACCGTCACTTCCTAAATCAGCTTGAAGGCAAATCGGTGAGTAGATTTTAGCTTTTTTATGCCTGGGCTTTAATTAGCAAACAGTAGACATTATTCAGCTGGATGGAGATCATTTTGCAACAGCTTTAAAAGTAAATGCTTAGCAGTTGATGACTTTGGCTTTGTCCTTAGGGATGGCTTTATTCAGTGTAGTGTTTCTGATTGCTCCCTCTTGATAAAGAGAAGCAAACAGCTCTGCTGCTCTTATGAATTTCATGTAACTGATGAATTTTAACCCACACCTGTCTAGAAGTCTTAAAATCCTACTTGAGCAAGACTGACTGAAATACGGTATAGGCTGGTGAGTTGCAGCTTCGGTTTTGAAACTCGTTAAATATTTTACACGAGAGATGTGTAGGGTTGTTTTTCAGAAGAGAATATGCAGCACTCCTTACAACCTGCATGCAAAGGGAAGATAGGAAGCATAATCAGAAGCGTATTGATTGAATTGGGAACATTTTTATGACCTGAAATTCAAGAAGAGCCATATAGAGAGCAGAAGCACAGGCATATACTTGAGAATAGTTATAAAGGAATAGCACAAGCTTGCAGTGATAACATCAAAAAGGCTGAGATGCAAAATGCTTTTCAATTAATAAGGAGGATGGGTAGTAACAATAAGAAATGTATAATAAGAAAGAGATTAAGGAGTAGGTAAGCCTGTTAGTTAACAGGAAAGAGCAAATAACAGTGCAGAGAAGTCTGAAGCACTCGGCACCCTCCTTGCTTCGTCTTCTGACAAAGAAAATGTGATCAACTGCTTAGCCAGCTTAAATTTTACATCATGAGAGGACTGCAGACTAAGGAAAGAAAACAGCCAGCTAAATATTATTTTGATTATGTCAGCAAGGCCTTATAAGATTCATCTTAGGGAACTTAAGGAACAAGCTGAAGTAGTCTGTGGAGTGCTTGAGAACACAGGAGGGAGAGATGATGTCCCAGGAAACAGAGTGAAAACAGCATCTTTTTTCGAAGGGTGGAAGAAGGAACTGATGACACAGTCATGGTATTATAAACCTCTGACCACTTTGTAGGTAGTTAGAAGATAAGGTAATTAAAAATAGGCATCACTTTGTTAAGAATAGGCCATGTCAAATCAACACCTTGTCTGGGGATCAGGTGGTCTAGGAGGAGAAAGCAGAAGGTGCAACATACCTTGCCATTGGGCACTACCCCAAACTGTCTCACGAGCAAGCAAAGACATTTGCTGTGGGTGTAATCAACGTAAGGTTGACACAAAAGGCTAGGAAGGCTGCATTCAAAGAGCAGCGATACTTGACAAACCGAGGAGGTGAGACAGGTGGAGCTCAGATCCTGGTCCAGGTTTGTTCAGTATTTTCCACAATAACTTAGGTGGTAGAATAGAAGGTGGAATGGAGGAAGCCAAGGTGGATGCTGTGCAGAACACGATCAAATTCAAAATCATGTAGATAAGTTGACAATATCATCTGAAAAGAGCAAAGTCAAGTGCGTATTGTTTAGGAAAGAGAAACATATGAACCCAAAGTAGGGGACGATGGTGAGATTTGACAGGAAACGATCTGGGGAATTGCAAATTAAAGAAAAAATATCAATCTAATGCTGCTCCAGAAAGGTTCAGACCTTATTCTGGGTTATGCTAATATAAGCATTGTATTTAAGATGGAGATAATTATCCTGCTGTGCCTGGTGTTGGTGTTACCTCAGTGGAAGTCTGGAGTCCAGTTTGAGGAATTTAAGATGCGAATTAATTGAAGAAAGCCTGGAGGAGAATATTAGCAATAAAACACAAGGAATAGCTAAGAAAATTGATGTTTGATTTGGTTTAGAGAAGAGGAAGGTGAAGAAAAACAAGCTTTCAGCAGGTAGAAGATAATTATGAAGGAGATAATAACTACTTGTTCTCTTTAGCCTGTGAAGAAAGGGGAAGAGGAGATCAATGTGGCTTTGAGGAACTTAGTCACCTTTTCTCAAAATGCAGCTCTGAAGGTGGCAAAATGTTAGGACCAGCTGGGGAGGGGAGTTCCTTCACTTTTCTGCTATTCTGTGAAGCGCATTATCTGCAGCTTTTGCAACTTCTCCGATTCACAGTGAAATTGATGAGATTTAACCCCTGAACTGACCTACACCAGCCTGTTGTTAACTCAGTTACCCCAAAACTGCTCTTGCAGGTAGACCCAAAATGAACTCTTGCCATGGGTAGCCAATAGATCAGGAACTCAACTTGGTTCATTCTTGGACCACGTTAGAAAATGCAAATAGGTTGTTTCTCTTCTCTTGGATATAGCATAGTTTAGTTTTCGGAAATAAGAACAATTTCTAGAACACTGGGCTCCTCATTTTGCAGTTGACTGGGTACCTCAGTAATTGGTGCTTCTTAAAATAAGTTTTTAAAATATGTGTGTTTGCCTTCTGTCTGCGGAGAACAGTTCAAGGAGACAATCTTGCAAATATCTGGCGTAGCTCTCCGTCGGGCAGACATTGGTTGTGCCTGTGCTTGCATTTATCAGGCAGTGTAGATGCGTGGGACGTAGTGGTGTCCTGAAATACTTCTGGGGACAAATTGTAATCACCTCATAAACTGGGTCATAAAGCAGAGGTGCTGTGCCAAAAAAAGGACAGTTGTTTCTGCACTGGGACTGCTAAAGAGGAAATGTGTGTGCAGTGTTCTCCTCTTCTCAAGTAATTGCTGTTGGCCCTGCAGAAAAGGGAGGTCGCTCTGTGAAAAAAATAGCCTTTCAAGTACAACAGGAATGTGAAAATTGAACAGGTGGATATTTTACTCCTCCTCTGCCTCTTAAGCTTTATGCAAAGGGAGAGTTTGGGAATATGAATGCAAGCATTAATTGATTTTCTGTTGATGTTACAGGAATGCTTAAAGGAAAGTGAATTACTAGCTGGCACATAGGGATTTTTGGTACCGCTCAGAGAAAAGTCGATTCTTTTTCTACGGTTCTTCTAACAGAGGGTCACTTATTTTGCAAACCTGAGGGTTATTAGTTCCAATCTGCACAGGGAAACTCCTCTCACAGTCTTGAATTTGGGACTTTGCATCCCAAACAAAGCTGGTGAAGGGTCTGGAGCACAGGTCTTATGAGGAGTGGCTGAGGGAGCTGGGGTTGTTTAGTCTGGAGAAGAGGAGGCTGAGGGGAGACCTCATCGCTCTCTACAACTACCTGATAGGAGAGGGTAGGGAGGTGGGTGTTGGTCTCCCAAGTAACAAGTGATAGGACGAAAGGAAATGCCCTCAAGCTGCATCAGGGGAGGTTTAGATTGGATATTAGGAAAAATTTCTTCATGGAAAGGGTAGTCAAGCATTGGACCAGGCTGCCCAGAGAGGTGGTGGAGTCCCCATCCCTGGAGGGGTTCAAAAAGCATGCAGACATGGCACTCTGGGACATGGTTTAGTGGGCATGGGGGTGTTGGGTTGATGGGTGGACTGATGATCTTAGAGGTTCTTTCCAACCTTAGTGATTCCTAGTTTTTACTTTCATTAAAAAATAATGCAGCCAGCAAGCCAGGAAACATGAAATTGCTACTCTCCCCTTAATTGGTTTAGTGGTGGACTTGGTGGTGTTAGGTTACTGGTTGGACTGGATGATCTTAAAGGTCTTTTCCAACCTAAACGATTCTATGATTCTATGATCCCCCGTGTATCAGATCGTCCTTCCTACCAAACACATCACGGATCACAACAGATCAGTTAGATGACTAGAAATAATTCCTGATGTTCCGAGAAAGTGCTCTCTGTGTCTCTGGGGGTCTGTCTCCCACCCTGCCAGGCCAGGGACCAGCCCGAGTTCTGTGCAGTTCCAGCTCTGCAGGTGCAAACCAGTACTGGCAGGAGGGTATCGTGTGCTGGCCAGGCATGGCCGGGCACAGACCTGTAGATGGGAATGGGTCTTGGGTCCCATTCTTCGGATGTAGCCTTTAATTTCTGTGTCCCCCTGTTGGGAAGACTGACAGTCTGAATGTGTTGTTTGAGGTAGCTGTAGCTGCCTAGAAGTTTTCTTGATTTTAGTAGTATATAATGCAGCTTCTTTGAGTAGCAGATGCCATGGAGCATTCTTATTGTAGCTCTGGTCTCATATATGCCTTGCAATCAAAATATATCAGTAAAATGATACCAGGGCTTAGTGCTTCCCTTCTGTGCATGGGGCAGTTATCCCACTTCTTGATGACAGGAGAGTGATGCCTTGCTGTGAGAGAACCTGACTAACACTGTTTCTTTTCAGCCATAAAAATGGAAAGTAAGTGACTAGTAGATGGGTGCTTTCATTCAAACTAGGGTACGTTAAGAGTTTTAGACATGTATTTGGAGAGCGTGTGTCGTGGTTTAACCCCAGCCGGCAACTAAGCCCCACACAGCCCTTGCTCACTCCCCCCGGTGGGATGGGGGAGAGAATCAGAAGAGTAAAAGTGAGAAAACTCATGGGTTGAGATAAAGGCAGTTTAATAGGTAAAGCAAAAGCTGCGTACTCAAGCAAAGCAAAACAAGGAATTCATTCCCTACTGCCTGTCGGCAGGCGGGTGTTCAGCCATCCCCAGGAAAGCAGGGCTCCATCACGCGTAACGGTGACTTGGGAAGACAAACGCCATCACTCTGAACATCCCCCATTCCTTCTTCTTCCCCCAGCTCTATGTGCCAAGCATGACGCCATACGGTGTGGGACACCCCTTGGGTCAGTGGGGGTCAGCTGTCCCGGCTGGGGCCCTCCCCGCCTCTTGTGCCCCCCAGCCCGCTCCCCGCTGTGAGGAGCAGAAAAGGCCTTGACCCTGTGTGAGCACTGCTCAGCAGTGACCAAAACATCCCTGTGTTACCAACACTGTTTCCAGCACAAACCCAAAACATAGCCCCATGCTAGCTACTGTGAAGAAAATTAACTCTACCCCAGCCAAAACCAGCACAGTGTATATAAGAAATATTTCCCTATGCTTTTGAGAGCCAGAGGAGGTTAACTCACTCTCTTTAGCACCATATGTTTGTGGAAGCATTACTGCAGTCAGTTATTTTATAGGAGAATCCGCAGATGCTCTTGAAGGGTATTTTTCCAAGCCTGAGTGCGCCTGACACATGGAGTAAATTCAGGCAGTTGCACCGCTTCAGTGCATAAACGCATTTCTCTTTTTGGGACTAGGAAGGGAGATAGTCAGCGTTCCCGTGTGGTAACGAGACGTCTGCACCGTTGGGATCCCAGTGCTTTATGAGCACATACATGAGTGCAAAGCCCGAATAGCATACGCTAATAGAAGCAGCGGTGCCAGAAATGGCGAATGAAGATGCTATCTGCACTTGATTTTGGCTGCAAGCAATGCGTGTCTTTTTGGCCAGCGCCATGCAAACATGTACAGTCAAGCTATTTCTGTCATGATGATTCCCTCAGAAGTTTAATTAAACTATGAAATCTTGGCTTTTCTGCCTCAAATCCAAAAATAGTTGGGTAAAAGATAGGAAAGATTAATCGCAATTTCGGTCTCTTTGGAGATCTTCAGAAAAGATTAAAAAGTTGTACCACTTAGCAGCTGGAAAATGTTAATAGTTTAGCAGGGTTTTCTGTTTTGAGCTGCTATAGATCTTGTTTTCTATAAATATTAATAACGCTTTTCTCAAGCATACTACAAGTACCTCACAGCTCCTTTTCCAAGGCTAACATCTGCTGCTGTTTTCACAGACGCGGAGGGGCTTCTGAGAATTAAAGAGGAAAACCAGAAGCATTATCGCAGGGCTCAGCGGCATCAGGAGAAGAAAGAGAAGATCCAGAGGCACAACCGCAAGCTGGGAGACTTGGTAGAGAAAAAAACCTATGACTTGAAAACCCAGTATGAGCATCTGGCAAATCTTCGTCGGACGCATATCCTGGAGCTAACATCAGTCATATTTCCCATTGAGGAAGTAAAGACAAGCATGAGGTACAGAAGGCTTATCCTTTTGGACTCGTTTTGCTTAGCTTTAGACACCCAGAAGTGAGTCATGTAAGTCTAAGCTAGACACTCTGGCTCCCTTAGCATCTGTGGGGAGAAGGAGGTGTTTCCCAAAGGCAAAACAGCTGACCCAAAGATAGAGGTCCGGAACAGAAGAGTCTGGAGGTGCTAGCATCTCCCCACTGAGAGGTCTGAGGTATGTGTCCAATGTTATACTTTCTTAAAATAGATAATTAAAAATCCCAGAACAAAGGAGTTTGGGGAATAAGGAGTTTTGCAGGAGTGTTTCTACGAGCATTTTGTTCTCTGTGAAGTCTAAGTGCCTGCCAAGTACATCTCTGATGGTATTTTTAAAACTTCTTTAAAAACACTGTGTTCCTCTTTGGGTGCTACAGAGATCCTGCAGACGTGTCTTCTGAGAGTGACAATGCTATGACCTCTAGCACTGTGAGCAAGCTCGCGGAAGCCAGGAGAACCACGTATCTCTCTGGGAGATGGGTGTGTGATGATCATAACGGGGACACCAGCATCAGTATCACAGGGCCTTGGATAACCCTCCCTAATAACGGGGACTACTCAGCGTATTACAACTGGGTGGAAGAGAAGAAGACTACGCAAGGACCAGGTAAGGAGCAAGGTCTGATTAGGCATCTGGGTTACTCCAGAAGCTGTAGAACTCGCAGCCTTGTATGCCAACAGAAGGCACCAAGGAGCAATAGTTCGGTCCGTTTGTTCTCACCCAGACAAACCTGAGTCAGAAATAGATACCGGCATAGGGATTAGTCCACGGAAATGCTCTTCTGCAGGAAATGCTCACTGGGGCACAGCACAATGTAATAGAGAGGTAAAGTTAATTATTCACAGTTTTGACATGGTTCACATGCCATCGCTTTAACAGGAATTCCAAGAATTACTATTTTCTACCAACTTCTGACAGATTTCACTGTAAATGATTGCTGGATTCAGGCTGCTCTCAATACTTAGAAATTACATTTTCCAGAGTAGACTTCAGTAACACATCAACACACCCACTGAGGCTTCATTTAAAATGAGACTTTCATGATGTTTTTATTTCTTTTAGATATGGAACATAATAACCCTGCTTATACCATCAGTGCTGCATTGTGCTATGCAACTCAGCTTGTTAACACTTTGTCTCTCATACTTGACGTCAATCTTCCCAAGAAGCTCTGCAACAGGCAAGTAAATGCAAGCCTCTGAGGAGGTGAATCAGTGACCGGTTTTGACTGATCTTAATTCAGTTTGGTTTTGTGAACAAAGTCATTATTTGGAACAGCTTTTATGGTAACGATTGATGGCTCATGGATTTTTGTGCTGTTTAATTTTGGATGGAGGGCTAGTAGGATTTTAGACCACAGTTAAGAGTTTCTCCCTCCTTCTTTACCTCCTGAGAGTGTAGACCAACCATCACAGCTGGAAATAACAGCTTTCTAATTGACATATTCAGCATCCTCAAATTAGAAATGAAATATGACAGTCCATGAATAGCACTCTTCATTTTATGAGACCCTACTGTGCTTTACAAAATCCCAGCCCAATTCAGCAACTCTTAGTCATCTTGAATAGCTCCACTACATTAAGTGCTGTAGGACAAGGCCTTATAATATGGCGTGCCAGCAAAGTAATTCTCTTTGGGATAAAATACCAATGGGGAAGGTACCTGGCTGCCAGACATCTGGGAGCATATTGCGTAAACCCCATTTGTGATGAAAAGCGCTGTTAGATTTTTAGTGTCTATGTGGAGCAGATGTACAGAAGAAGTACTGAGGAAGCTGTAGACCTGGTCAGTCTTCCAGAGGTCTCAAATACACTGCTGAGATTCTTTTAAGTGTTTAAAATAATGGTTGCCGAAGTGAGGGCATGAAAGTTGTGTAGGGTCTCTGCAGGTTTTTTATACTGTTATTTAGGTGCTCAGTCTTCGCAGAAGGAAAAGGTCGGGAACAGGAAATGATGCAAGATTTAAAAGGAGAGCTGAAATAGCTTGGCTGCAGTGGATCTTTGAGTTTCATACAGTTTACATCACCTGTCCTGTTGAAACCGGTGAGACTAGGGCAAGCAGTGCTTGTTGATGAAATGCTAACAGTCTTGCGAGGTGAAAAATTAATCTCCTGAGCGCTCTAAAACTGCCTGTACAGTTTAAACAAGTGTTCGCTGCGAGGATGTTTACTCCAGGGTTTGTTAGAAAGCCAGGACACAGAATGCTGGTGTCTCCAGTAGGTGTATTTTCACAGCATTTTGCTTTGTGTATATATATATGTGGGTGTGTGGTGTTTCAACAGCGAGTTCTGTGGAGAGAATCTCAGCAGACACAGGTTCACACGGGCAGTGAAGAAGCTGAACGCTAATATCCTTCACCTTTGCTTCTCTCAGGTAGGGGGAATGTACATTTGGATTCTTTAAATAGCTTTTAAAATATCAACTTGTGCCTGCAGATTTCCTTCAGTAACTGATCGTGTTTTTTTCTTACCTTCCCTGTGGTAGCATGTAAATTTAGATCTGTTGCACCCACTGCACACGCTCAGGAACCTTATGTACCTGGTCAGCCCAGACACTGAGAACTTGGGCAGGTAAGAAAAGCAGCATCTCAACTCACCTGTGACTGAATCCCGTTTGAAGTTATGCGTTTGCCTTGTTACTTATAAGGGAAAGTCTTCTCTTCTGCTGTACCTGTAGATCAGTCCTTGGCACATCAGAAATCAGGCTAGTTACAAAGAGGAGACAGGAGAGGACAGAAGAAGGGAGTCCTGAGTAGGAAATTCGATTTCAGAGATGTGTGTGTGCTGCGCTTCTGCGTATGGCAGGCTCAGCTGGAGGCTTTATAGCTGATTATGGACTTGTTTCCCCTACTCCCAGAAGCAGGAACTCCTTCCTTCCAGGGAACAGCAGCACATATGCCAGGCAGTCTCACTGTGCTCCAAATGTGACCCTGCCCACCTCTCACCAACATATAAATACCTAAGAGCATCCAGCAATATAAACCCTAAAATGAATACTAGCTAAAGCTTTCCCCAAATACTTCCAGTCAGTGAACACCCTGGGCCAAAGCCGACACTTCAAATAGTATTAATTTCTGTGTAAATTAAGATTAAAGACAACTTTTCTGTTAACTTAGTACGCGATGAAAAGAACAGCAGTTCCTGTGGGCTGCACGCACCAGGTTTAATAATCCTTTTTTTTAACAACTTAAATATAAGAAAGCCAACAGCATTGACTTCCTGTTGGGATAATCCAGTCACAAGTCACTTGTGCCTGAGACAGTCTGCAAATAATTGATTAATCTGACTACTGCCTTATTCCCCCTTAAACACAGTAATGTTCTGAAATCTACTTTTCTGCTTTGTTCTCATGTACAGATCTAGTTTTATTTAAAAACCTGCAGTGCCACTAAGAGGAACTGAATGCCTCTAACCACTTACCTTGCGTTCCTTGGGTATATCCCTACTGATTCAGCCCTAAGATATGGGGAGCCAAATCTTTGTACCATAGCTCAGTTTGGAAAAAAATGATGTGCTTGCTGCTGCTTGTCTGAAAACAGGGAGAGTGCAGGAAATACCCAGAGAATGAAGAAGTCTGTCCTGGAAAGCAGCGGCTGTAAAAGATCCAAGCACCACCGTGGACAAAAAGCTAAGCCTGACAGATCCCCATGGTGTGAAGTAAAAGGGCTGAGCAGAGAGATGGGTCTCACTTCTCTGTGCAAATGTTACAGAGCTCCGCACGCATCCATCATGTCCATGTAGTAAAAGAAGAGGTTACAGGAAGAGTCAGAGAAAATACTTACCAGGGAGGGGAATAGTTTAGTCTGTATAAAACTGTCCTAGGTCGCTAGAGATGAGACTGGGAGATGGCTTGATTTCCATGCCTTCATGGTGAGAAAATACAGGCTACTGGATGGCTTTACAGACACCACTGGAAGCAAAGAGTCTGAGCTGCGTTGAGCTGAGGCGCGTGTGCTTGACACAGAGTTTAATTACCCGCAAGAATGAAGGTGGGGATTCTCTGTTTCCTTATGTCATCCTGTCAAGGCTGGATGAGTTTCTGGAATGGGCGCTTTCATCAGGCAGAAGTTACTGGGCCCAGGACAGGGGGAACGGGTGGAACGTAATGGCCTTTGTTGTAGAGGAGGTCACTTGAGATGATCTAATGGTCCCTTCTGGCCTTAAACCTGATGACTCTCTTCGTCTGTTGCCTTGTTAAGCAGAATGCTTTGCCAGAAGGCAGCGCTCCCATTCCTTTCCGGATTATGAAAGAGGAACGTTTACCTTTAATTTATTCTCAGCTGTCTGCAAAGTTTGCAGCAACCAGCTCTCTTTATTTTCCTTTCTCTACCTAGGCCTATAGTTGCCCAATAGTCTTGTCTATAAGCTACTGCTTTCATTGCCTGGATTAAAGTTTTCCATGCTAAATCGCTGCTTCAGGCTCCTTCTCCCACTAAGGCTGGAGAAACGCTCTTACCCGTGTTAAATTCTTGCTCCTGTTAAATTCGTGTTTTGGAATGAACTTTGGCAGGGACGCTGTTTGTTGTGGGGCATCCACCTTTCACCGCCTCTGTGAAAACCTCGTCCTCTCTGCCCGTGGGTCACGGGCCTCTGAAACCGCCTGCTTTGGCTCAGTAAAGACGTTCCAAATTTTGGCTGCCCGTCCTCCAGTGCAAAGCAGTGGGATGGGGCGGGATGCAATTGCTTCTCCCACCAGGCAGTGGCAGCAGGGATCTCGGAGTCACAGCGCAGGTGGGTTTGGCTGGGACCTCTGGAGATGAGCCCGTCGCCCCGCTCAAAGCAGAGCCCACTAGAGCAAGTTACTCAGGACCGTGGCCGGTGGGGTTTTGAGTATCTCCAACGATGGAGACTCCGCAGCCTCTCTGGGCAACCCGTGCCAGTGTTTGGCCAGCCTTGTAGTAAAAAAAGATCTTGAGATGTCGCTCAGGGTGAAGTGCTGCTATGGGAAGTCTCCACTGGCGAGCTGTGCCAACCCAGTTCTGTAAGTTGTAAACTACACCCTTCCCCTCGCTGACAGGGCTGCAGCCGTCTTGGCCTGGCCGGGGCTAGCGTTAAAAATAAAAGCTGTCCCACATCAAGCTGAGACTTCCACCAGTGGAGCTGTGAGTTATTATCAGTAGCCTTTTCTTTTGTGCGTGCGTGTTCCACTATCCGCTGCCAAAGCAGAACAGCTCTTCCGCCGTTCCTGCTCCGTGGATTGGAACCCGGCTATCGCTTCCTTGGCCAACTGTTTTCGTTTCACCATTGTCATAATACAGTTATCTCTGTAGCCAGTGAGTTTCTCTCTGCCCGCTGATAAACTCAGCGGTGTTTTAATTTCTCTGCTCTACGTGTGACAGGGCAGGGTGCTTTGGCATGCCTAGGACTCGCACCAGCAAGTGACGGTCCCTCTCCTGCGTGGTACCAAACGGGCTGACGGCGTTGTGTCCATGTTCGCAGGTCTGGGCCTTTCGAAATCAGCGCTGATCTCGAAGACTCCATGGAGTTTGTGGATCCCAGTGCCACCGGCGAAACGGATGAGAGCGGAGACGAGCACGTCAGTGATGAAGAGACAGACCTAGGGACAGACTGGGAGAATCTGCCGAGCCCCAGGTTCTGCGATATCCCCTCGCAGCAGGTGGAGATGCTGCAGAGCCAGAGCACGCAGGTATCTCAGCCCATTGCCAGCAGCAGCGCTGGTGGAATGATCTCGTCCGCTGCTGCCTCGGTGACCTCATGGTGGAAGGCGTACACTGGGCATCGCTAACGAGCATGGGAAAAGGATCATGGGATTTGTGGAAGGAATCCCTCCCCGACAATGCTGTAGTAAACCTTACATATTCAGTTAAGTAGTGCCTGGAACAAAGAAAAGGTCAGACTTCTGTTTTGTAAACCAGAAAAAGCTTTTTATTTACCCAAGATGACTGTGATGGTACCATTTTGTAAATTAGCTAGCTACGTACTTCTGACGGATTCTGTGATGGCACTTTGTGTCTTGGTTCTGTCTGCGTTGTCGAGTATCGAAGAAAAAGGACCCGGTAGCCTCCAGCTCTACTTTCTAAAGAAGAGATGGATTTTGGAGTATTTGGATCGGGATGCATACAGAGGGAAGGCTGCGCAGCGTGCAGTCTGGACAGCGGTGCAAATGCAGTTCACATTTTCTTAACTCCTTACAGGGTTTTCGTTTGTGTGTGTTTTAAATCTGTCTTGCATAATGCAAAAATGTGTATTTCTAAATTTTTTTCATTCAGGACATGAAAATTATGCATTTTTAACATGTTTTCTAATCTCTGTTGCCATATTTTTAATACAAAGAATCAGCATGGACAGGAGTTCACACAGCAAATTGCTCTTATTTTAGAATTGGTTGTGAATCTTTACCCAGTTTTGCCGTAGAAAACTGGCTTGTTTCATGCTGTTTCCACCTGTAGGTAGTCTAAAAGTTTCGTGTTGTGCTGTCCAAAGCACACAGGCTCTTTACTCTTAATATCATACACCAAAGAAACACTGGACGTTCTCTTAGCTAGACCTACATTTGACGCCGATACAGGATTGCGTTGTTGCAATAATACTCATCAGTTACACCACCACGTTGCCACTTTTTAATATTAGAAAAACCTCATTTCAAGCTAGTTTATTGAAGCTACATGGTCTTCGCACTACATACATTTTAAACCCTATTCTATTTTATGTTTATGGTGGGGTTTGGGGTTTTGTTTTGTTTTGTTTTTCTTGTTTACTGAATGCCAAGAAGTTTATTTCATTTCACTGCAGAAATGCTCCCAGCACAGCTGGCTTGCATGTAGAACTACAGGAGGTGCGATACCCACAGATGCGTTTGTTAACAAGCGCTCCTCCGCTTCCTCTGCCTTTGCGGTATGTATTACTTAAAGATGGGTTCGCTCAGTGAGGCTTCCGACGTATGGTTTACATTTTATATAGCTGGGACGTTGTACTTTCTCCATGGGGTAAACAAATGGAAAAGCCTCCTCGCGTCCCCGCAGGAGGGAAGATTTCTGCCACTCGTCCCTGCGGCGACGCGGCTCGTAACGGAGGCACGGCGAGGCCGCGGGGAGCGATGCGTGAGCCATGTCCTTGCCATCAGCTTTGATTTTTCACGTCCTCCTGCGTGTTTGAAGTCCCAGCTCCTTACCCGGCCATCTCACAGAGCGTTCTGCTCTGTTCCTCTCCAGGCCAGCCAGCGCTGCCTCCCGTCTCCACCGAGGAGTGGGTGGCAAAGCAGTTTTGGTACCGATGCCTGTGTGCCCCAGCGAGCTCCGCGCCGGGGTACCAGCTGCGTACACTGCC